GCCAATGCACCAACCGTGAGACTTAGCCAGTCCGACAGGTCAATCTACTATTCTTCTCTCACCTTATTTCGTTCTTCTCCTATGTTGACACTTTTGATGCCTCCCGAGCAAAGATACAACATTAACCCTGACCTGTGCTAAGCTCCATATGTGCAAAATCATGCATCATCCTCTTGTTTTGAACAAAGCCTTCACCATGTAATAAAGCAGAGAGGTATTATACAAAATTCCACAATGAGTCGTGCAACTAAATCCAAAATAATAATAATAATAATAAAATAATAATAATAATAATATAAACTATAAAAAAATAAAAATGTTGGATGGAAAATAAAAATAAAAATTATAACTATAAACATCTTTCTGCCCCTGTACATGCGCATAAGAAAACATAATCATGAACAACTAAGAATAAACTATACTATTGAATTCTTTTGATGTTGTTCCTTATCCTTTGCCGTGTGTCCTCAATCTCCCAAGAAACCTTGGCCTCTTTGCTAAACTTTCATATATATGCTACATAAATACTTGTATTTCCACTCTCATTTTTTTTTTGGTCAATGAAAAAACTTTTATTCATTTGCCAAAATATGAAAATTATGTACATCACTATCTCAACTATGAGAAAAACCAACTTCCTAAACAAATTTTACAAAGATATTAACCAATCTTTTTGCTCATCAGTGATGTGGCTGTTCAGGCATAAAGTGAAGATATCAGTTTTGATGATCTTAACCAACTGATCAGCATTTCTACCCGCCTGCTGGTGATATCTTCTGTTCCTTTCTTCCCAAATTCTGTACACAGCAGCCGCAAGCACCAATCTCCTAACTTTTTTCTTGAATCCCTTCCCTCTTTGTCTAGTGATATACCAATTCATAAGTAAGTTCCAATAGCATGTTTGCCAGTCAATTTCAAGCCAGTTACTGATGCCCAGCCACACATCCCTGGAATAATAGCATTCAAAAAATAAATGGTCTCTGCTCTCAGAACCTGCACACAGGTAACACTGATTTATGTTAATTATCCCTCTTCTCAATAATCTTTCCTGTGTTTGTAGCCTGTTCAGCACCGCAAGCCATAGTATAAATGAGTGCCTAGGGTAATTCAAAACTCCCCACACTGTGTTAGACCAGGGAACTTTTTGATTTGCAGGGGAGAATACAGAATATATTGCTGACAGCTTGATTTTTGAGTTTTCGTAGCAATCTCCAAGCAATTTCTTCAGGTTGTCAATGCCTCCAACTTCATTCAAAGCCTTGTCTCTACATTTAAGTAGCTGCTTCCACATCCAAGAGTCTCCTTTTTTTGCTTTAACATTCCATACATCCCTATGCTTTAAATAATTTCCATGGATCCATCTCACCCATAAAATTTCCTTATTGACATGGATATACCACAAACTCCTCATAGCAGTAGCTAGATTCCAAATAGCTGCAGAATACACTCCCAAGCCACCTTGAATTTTCCCACAGCATACTTTATCCCATGAGACCAAAGGAGTTTTTGAAGAATTTCCAGATTTCCCCCACAGGAATTGCCTGCAAACTTCATCAATCTTCTTCACTACCTTAACTGGCAGTACAAAATTTGATGTCCAGAAGTTTTGAATACCCAAAATCACACTTTTGATAACCTGAATCCTCCCTGCATATGATAAGTTATGAGAGGGACTCCTAGGTACCTGAATGGAATAGCACCTTCTGAGAACCCCAGGAAGTCTTTGATCTCTGTTTTAATATCATCAGCCACCCCACCAAAATAAATTGAGCATTTATCCAAGTTGGCTTCAAGTCCAGTTGTATCACTGAAGTCCTTAACACATTGATATAATTTTTGAATGGAATAAAGATCTCCTTTGGCAAAAAGCAACAAGTCATCCGCAAAGATGAGATGAGAAATATTATTTCCACTCTCATTAATATTATGACGAGTATATAATAATCTCTCTTAACCCCTTTGAGGGTTAGATCCCCTTAACACTCCATTTAATAGTCTAAACAACCCTATCCAACACAATATTAACATCATGTAGAAGATAGCTACTTATTATTATTATTGTCATTATTTTTATGAACGTAGAAGATAGCTACTTTTGGCACTTGTAGTTAACTACATTAGAAAGCTCAGCAGCTAGCTCGGCACAAAATTTGATACCGTGTCCAAGCCATATCAAAATCCCATCAATAAGTTGTGATCCTCAGTCAAGTTTCCTCAACCAGAGGAGACAATATTAGCGCACTCAAACTCGTAACAAAAAGAATGAATGAAACCCTAACCCCCAATACTCCCTCCCTCCCTCTCCCCCCCTCCTCTCTCTCTCTCTCTCTCTCGAGTCGGATCCAAAACCCTAGCTGATAGCTACGTGGACCTTTACGACATTGGCCCCCTTACAAGAAAGTGACTGGTGGGCCCCACACGCCGCATCAACCACTTAAACTTGATTAACCCGACCCTTAACCCTTCACTAACCCTAGGGCTCCTCGTCCCTTAACCCACAGTTTAGGCTTGGTCCAAAACCACATCACTGTCAACTTTGTATCACCCGTATTATTATATCCGAAAGGTTTCTAGGGAACCTCTCCCCTCTCTGAGTCCCTTAACCCACCCTCTCTTTCTCTGCACTCGATCCTCGTTTTTTCTATATTCTCCACTCCCACAGCTCCTCTCAATATTTTTCTCCTTTTTTCCCCCCTCACCTTCTTTATTCAATCAAAATCATAAAAATTAAACCCTAGTTTTAAATTCACACCCAACCCTTTTCCCACTTTTTTTAATTTATATATTTATAAAAAAAACAAGTACTGTGTAATTTTTTAATTTTTCATCATAATATTGTTCCTTTGTATGTTGGCATGATGGCTGGATTGGATCTAGGCACTGCTTCAAGATACATCCATCAACTCCACCACCATCCTGATCTCCAACTTCAGCAGCAGCATCACAATCCATCCGACTTCGATGACGACAACAACAACAACAACAACAATCAATTCTCAGGCTCTGGCGATGCCGACGGATCATCGTCCGGTCACCAGGGCCTAGAGTTGATAGCCTCAGGCGGCGGTGGCCAGGCGACATGCGTCGGCGACGCCTCCGAGGGCGCGCCAGCCGGCCTCCAAGAACAAGCCGAAAACCTCCAGTGATCATCAACCAGAGGAGCGCCAACCACCCTCCCGGGCACACATCTGTGGGAAATCAGGCGGCCGGGCTGCCGATAGTACGTGTTTCGAAATGCGTGGCCGCCTACGCCCGCCGCCGCCAGCGCGCATCTCGCGTGCTTCAGCGGCAGACGCACAGTCCACCAACGTCTAGCCTCGACAAGCCGTCGTCGACCGGCTCCGTCGTTCACTCTCACGGCCGGGTTCGAGATACTATCTCTTTGTCCGCGTTTCGTTCCTGACCAGCCGCCGGCCTCCCCGCGGCGCCACCAATGCTTGTCAATATTTTCTGCGCGCGGAGGCCAGGGGCAGCAGTGGTGGAGGGAACGTCGTCGGGGCGCCTGTTCGCCTGGCGGGTCCGCGTTATCGTCGATCGCGGCGTCGTTTACGAATGTGGCGCTATGAGAGGCTGCCGCTGAGCGAGGAGGAGGCGCCACAGCTGCAGAATGCAGCCGCCTACGGCGGTGCCGGAGGGATCTGGTGGAGACGGAGGAGCGGCGGGGGCGGGGGTGCGGAAACCCGTTCCCGGATCCGTCATCGCCGGATTGCCGCTTCTTCCCAATTTAGCCGGTGAATAACATGGGGGCCAGTGCGGTGGATGGGCCACGCTTGGCTGTGGAACTCGTCGGCGCGGGCCGGACGAGGGCCGTCATTGATGCAAGCAAGACGATTTTAAGGTCAGCTTAAGATTTATCTGTTATGTACAATTAGGTAACTTAATTTTCTTTTCTCTCTTTTCCTTTTGGGTCTTTGTTTTGCAAGTGAAATTGTTGGTTTTTCTTTGAACCTGTTTCCAAGTGTTTTGAGGTCTTCACGTACGGTGATGATGTTGTTGTTGTTGCTAGTTTGTTGTTCACGAAAACTCTCAGCTGATATGCTTTCATTTGCAACCGATGCGTTCGAGTTTGATGCAAATCAATAAGCTTTATTTGGCAACTTTTTAATTTGTTACTCTGTGTGCCAAAAACCTGCAGCTAGGGTTTCTTGTAAATTAGAGTCATCTGACGTGTGCATGTATTATCTTGCTAATTTGTGCTTAAGATTACTTACTGGCTAATTTGGTTTTAGTTACCTTCTTTTTTGCAAGTTTTTTTTTGGGAGTCATTAATTCCCCATTTATCGTCCAACTTTTGCATCTAAGTTCTAAATGTTGGGTCTGTGTGAAACTTTGGAAAATGTAGCAGCTAGATGCTGATTCCCTCGTGTTGCACTAAGAATGATGATGTCTGAAGAAACAAGTGCTTGTTGGCGCTTACATTTTAGCTAATGTTGTTTACCATAATTGATTCTCATTTTCTTGAGGAAAGCATTTGTTTTATCGCTAATAAATTTGTATGCTGACATGATCCAAAACTAACTATAAAACAACTCCTTTCCCATAGCTTAATCTATTTGGAGCTTCATTACAGTTAGTGCATCTCTATGGCTTATGCGAAATCCTCAACTCATCCTGTTGTGTGGAACCCGAGATCTAGCTAGCTACTTTTAATTAAACGACTCAATGTTGCAAGCTAAGATTATGTTTACTTCCTTGATTAATCATATATATGCGAAAGAACGTTTATATGTTGCCAGAACTTTTAATTTATATAAATAAAAAGCTTTTCAGATACTCTTGTTTACTTTGTTAACGGCAATTTATTTTCCCCCTAATTAAACGCATCTTTGATTGATTATCAATGCGTAAGTCCATTATATATACATGGAAAACAATTTCGATAATTAGCAAAGTAACGTACAGGGAAATAAGTAATTTCAAGGATATATAATTTCTTATAAGCTCACTTCTTCTTAGTTTCCTACTGATTAATTTAGTCTCATTCTTTCTGAAAATAGAGAAGCTTTTTGCATTTCCATATTCAAGGATTAATTAACACATGCAACTATGTGGATGAAAATAAAATTCTGAATCCTTTGTTATACGTAGGAGGTCATGCTATAGTTAGAGGAAATAACAAAGAAAAATATAATATTGGGAATTAATTGATTGTGTCATATTCTATCAGTTACGTGTCTTGACTTAAATTAAAGCGAAGTTAAATGCATTGTGCTCCTAATTAAAGTTTGAATGTACTAAAATATATACTTGTCGATATACCTAATGTTAATCTCCAAGCTTTCATATTGACATTTTCGAAGTGTATTGCATTTATATATGTATACGTTAAGCACCCCTCATAAAATGACACCACGAATATGTTTTTGTTAAATATAGTAATCAGGCATATTGTATTCTTTTCTTTTAGTCCAACATCATTTAGAGTATTAAACTTCTCTTGCTTTTGTATTTAAACACTTCAACGTAATGAAAAAATAAAATAAAAAATAGTATCTTTTCTTCTCTAAAGCTCTATATCTTAACAGTTTGAACTTAAGAATTGAGAATAGAATTAAAAGAATTGTAAACTAGGAAGTTAATGTCTAATATTTTCCTACGGGATTTAGAGAGCAGATTTCTAAAGAGTTGAAAGCTATACTTTACTGAATGAATGCATCGTGTAGCAAAAAATTGGAAAACATAATTGAAAATAGCTAGGATAAGAAAACTTGCTAGCTATGATTATGTTTGCATGGCAGTGTGTGTCTTGTCTATTTCCATGATATTTGAAGCGAGCTCCCGCACATAGTTTCTTGACAATGATTATTTCCTGGGTTATTTCATTATATATATATGTCCTCATAATATTTGGACCTCACCATTGATCTAACGTCATATTGTTGCTAGAAGTTTAGATTAAATGCATGTCTACTATCCATTATTATAGGGCAACATTATGTCTGTTTATGCTAATATGGACAATTCTTCAGGCACCTAATTTAGAATTAAGGGTTAGTTATTCGTAAGTTCAGATGATAATCTACTTAATTAGTTCAACAATGTTTAAAAAGAAGATACTATTAATTTGGTCATGTGCCTTATTTTCGTTTAAAATTAATGGAATGTGATCATTCTTTTCTCTTAACAATGTGTATTTGGAATGAAAGTGATATAAAAATGTAGGGTACTTATGCTAATTAAGTCCTCAAATTTGCATTGGCAATGCTTTTCAGTCAATATTTTTGAAACACAATGCAGGAGAAAAAATGGCATTCAATTCTACTATTTTTGGGTTGTAGGTTGGTTGTTGATTGTTGAACAAGGACTAAAATGGTCATTTAGGGTTCTTCTTGGATAAGAATTGTGTTATAGTTTCTAGGTGAATTTAAGCTTTCCACAATACAAATATGAATCTTCTGTACAATATATTGCCTATGATTTTTGATTCCAAGAAGTTATAATAGGAACATAAGATGGAGTGTCAATTTTGTTAGCAGGAGTTGATAGTTTGATTTGTTTCTTAGGGGGTGTTTGTTTCAACTTTTTTTTGGGATATAGGGTGGATTACAAATTCTAAGATGAAAAAGTGGGTTTTTTTGAGTTTATGGATTCCATAACCTTTGTTTGATTCAAAATAAATTTTGGGATATTGAATACCCAGTTTTTTTGAGTTTATGGATTCCATAACCTTTGTTTGATTCAAAATAAATTTTGGGATATTGAATACCCAAATAATACAAAACTAATATATTATAGACCTTTGTTTGATTCAAAATAAATTTTGGGATATTGAATACCCAAATAATACAAAACTAATATATTATAGTATTTGTGAAATCCTCTCTTTGAGAAATGATTTGGGCTAGATTTCAAATTCTAAAATTCGTAATGCTACAATTTGAGTTTGAAACGAACAATATATAAATTATAGGATTACATATCCCAAAATATTGAAGAAACAAACAACATTTTAGAAATTCCAACACATGTTAAAAAACCTATGGATTTCAAATCCCATGGTGAAATCCATATCATAAAATTATAGGATTTGAAACAAGTATCCCCTTAGTGTGTGTGTGTATATATATATATTGTTGGATAGCAGGTTCCTAATATGTTTCCTAATTTGTTTTGGTAACAGGTTATTGGGATTTCTAATCTATTTTGGTAACATGATTTCAAATCTGTTTTGGTAACAGGTTATTAGGATTCCTAATCTGTTTTGTTTTTTATTTTAGAATTCCTAGTATGTTTTTGGTTTTAGGATTTCTATATATACAATTGGAAGAGAGAATTAAGAAGAAAATTGGGGATATTTGGAGCACAGAAAAGATGTATTTTCTGAGCTATTGGTTAGGGTTTTGTTTGGAGAGAATTAGAGATTTGTTGGTGAGATTAATTGGTGAGTTTGAGTGATTTGTAATCTCAGTTTGTACTCTTCTTCTCTATTAGTGAAAAACCCTATCCCCTTCTTGCCCCGTGGACGTAGGTAAGTCTTATCACTGAGTAAGGCCAACTTGAAAATACTTTAGGTCAGAGGGGAAATCTGAAGATGGCTCATTTTGAAGCCCTTCTCATGGTTTCCGTTGTAGACTTGTAGTAAGTTATATTTATATGCATTCTAGCTTTTGCTTTCCATATGAAGATGCAATGTTGTCATATCTTCTGGTTGTTTTATATGATTTCTTATCTTGGAGGTGGTTACCAAAACAATTTTTCAGGTATGTTTAGATCAGTTACGTAAATGCCTAAGTAAATCAGTCGACATCAAAATTAAGTGTATGTAATATACACATACAAACACAATTTTTCGACATCAAATCTAAGTGTAAGATACACATACCAACACACAATTTTCATTCTCATAATTACATTACAAAGCAAGCATTTGGGTTTTCATCACTGAACCATTCAGGTGCATGAGTGCAATGGATGAAGTAAGGCACAACAATCTCTTTGGTCTTCACCTCCTCTTTCTTCTCCGACATCTCAGTCACTTTCTTCTCCACGACCTCAGCCACTTTTACTTCTTTGCTCTCCTTAACCTCCCCTTTCTTCTCCTCTTTTTTCTCCTCTTTCTTCTGAGGTACAATCTCTCCATGCTTTCGCAATTTCTTGCGTATGTACTCGACCAATTTTTTCTCTTCCACAGTGCCAACAATGGTGCATATCTCAGCATCTCGATTCATCTTAACACTATGTATACCTGTTACATAAACTTTGATTGTCAATATTTTATTTTTATTAATTGAAGAATTTGGTGTAAATTTACACCTTTAAGTTTTAGTAGTTTCCACTTCAGATCTTGTTCACACTTCTCGCAGTGCATATGAACCTTTATAACTGTGGTCTTTGCAACTACCTGAGAGAGAATAGAATCAGAGTAAATAGCTTTGATTGAGTCGTTTGACTTAATTAGGAAACAAGTTGTAATAATTCATTATATTTGTCAGTTAATGAAAATATTACTTCTTTCTTCTCGATCTTCTCTTCTTTTTTCTCTTCTTTCTCTTTAGGCTTGGGTGATATCAACTCCACCTTCTTCCTGCTTTTTTTTGCTATTAGTTCTTGTATCTTCTTAACATCAAAATTCCCCTTCACAGTGACTTTCCCGCTCTCAACATCAGTATCAACCTTTTGAACACCTATTACGAAGTTATGATCAACCAAAAATGGGAAAAAGATAATTAAGTCAGAAATAATAAAGATGTGGAATATATATTCTGTCACAGAACCATTCCTATAGGAGTATATATTTTATGCCGGTGTTCCGATAAAATATGTACTCTCTAAAGCTATGGTGCTCAAATTGAACCATACATACATACCCGAGGTTCTTACTACTGTCTTCTCAACGGCATGTGCACATTCTGGGCAATGAAGGTTGAGCTTATAAACGGCAGTAGTTACTTCTTCGGTTTTTGCTTTCACTTCTTCAGCCTTCACTTTGTCCCCCATATTTTGGTGTTCCCCTTGCTTATTTCTCTAACAAGAGGTAGAAGTTGTTAAGAGGCCATTTCTTGAAGAATATATACTTAGAGGAGAAGATACGGGAGTTGTACAAAGTTAAAAGTTGATGTTTGTGACAGTGGTTTGTTGAGATTTGTTGAGGAGTTGTTCACTAGCTGAAGATAAGCTGCACTGCACAAATGACATGTGAGGCACTGTTTGGTGAAAGGACCTAAGGAGACCATTTCTTCTGAACAGTACAAAGAAAAAGTCTATGATCTCAATATATATGTTTGAGTTACTATTACGTTGGTTGGACTGATTGCATTGATTTGATCACCGCAGCCACCAATAAAGTTTTACTGCGTGTGTTTTCTCAATATTTTTTAGGTCAAGAATAAAAAATAATTTCATTTACCATTTAACAACATTATGTAGCTACTAGTTACAGAAGTATGATCACTACAACAAAAGATGTAACGTAGACACATTTTCTATCATCTTGCGACACGATTTTATGTCGCACAAATGAAACATGACACATCTTAAAAGTGTGATAAGAATATGCACAACGAGCATCCTTCTACGGATATGTGCAAATGTGTCTTAAACTCTTCACACATGTAAAGTGTTTTGAGAATATTGACAAATTTGTGTCATTACAAATTCGCTCATATTCATGATTTTTGATCCCACACCACCTCCATTTCTAATTAAAGTCCACTTAACCACTACGAAGCCCACTTTAACATATGAGTCGCCACACCCAAAACCATTCATATATCATTCATCGTTTCTGTTCAGAGCCTACCCGCGATTTGTTTCCCAATCAAGTCGTCCAACCAAATCAATTCAATAATCACATTTAAACCATTAGATTCCTTAGGGTTGAACGATGTGGGACTAAAACTAAAACGCATGATCAGCTGATTGGATCCAAGACAGAGGATAGGACTTGCGAGATGGAGATTAGGGATCGCTGATGAGAATATTGTTAGTGCTTGAGGTCGTGAGGCAGAGAGAAGAGAGGAATTTGAAGTCGATGCCAGAGCTCAGAGTTTGCAGGGATAAGTGTTTGAGATCAGCATCGAGCTTCGTTAGGGATTTTTCTGTATTTAGGTTCGCTTAATTTTTTAGATATGGAGGGAATGTCCCAGTGGAGTATTTTAGATAAATCTTATGAAGAGGATTTTTGGGGACGACGAATCCTGGTCCTTAAAGTACAAGCTGTATCCTCCCAAGGCCACAATGCATAATTTAGGGTGTATTTGGTAACTAAAGTGTTTCTTTTTGTTGTGTTATTTAAAAAATCATCATGTCATGATGTTTATTTTTCAAATGTGTTTTGAAAACCAATTTAACTCACACTGAATTCAGTTTCCAACATTAGAATACACTTGATTCTTTTCAATCCCAGATGAACTAATTTATGTATACTACATGAAGAAATCAAAACAATAACAAATGGAACTTACTCATCAAGAGATACACAGATCGCAGGCTCCGCCGTTTTCTTCTTCTGACCCCTTAGCCACTCCTTCAGCCTCGCTGCAACCAAACCGACCAAAATTTGTAAAAATCATCCAAAATCCAAACTAATTTTTGGGATAATTGTGAAAATACACTTACAAATTCCCAAGGAGATGGCGGTTGAAGGTGGGGGCTGGGCGCTGAGAGAGGGGAGAGAGAGAGAGGAGTAGGAGAGCAGCTCGACGAGAAGTGAAAGAGAAACTAGGGTTAGGGTTTTGATTTGGTTTTTGGTGACGATGAGAGGGTGAGAGAGTAAATGGGAAGGCGGTAGTGGCGACTCGGAGGCGACAACGGCTATGAGGAGGCAGCAGTGGTGACGTGGATGTGGTAGTCGGAGTAGCGGCGACGGCTTAGGGTTGAGGGGGGAAAGGGGATCGGGTTGGTTTTGGGGGAAAAATAAAAGTAACAAAGATATGAAAACACCTTTTTGGTGTTTAATGAAAATCAATTATCTTTTGGTCTTTCTAAATGGTCAGCTCAAAAAAACACTCTGGTTGCCAACATGTGTTGTTGTTTTGAAAAAAAGAAATGGAAACAAAAATATCACCTTGATTGCCAAATGCCCCCTAATTATCAATTGCTAAGCCACAAGTCCACAAATTGACATAACTAGTGCTTTATTAAAACATTAGATTTCAAGAGATAACCTTATTATGTATAAGTATTATATTTGCTCTAATTTATTTCACGTTCCTAACTATGACGCCCATGTTTTCACACATGGCTGCAGTCCAAGGTGAACCTAGAGATGTCAAACCTGTCATGCACCCACACTGTGCAATAACATGTTTCACCAATCACAGTAATATTCTCTAGTGAAATCAATTATGAGTGAAGGTACAAAACAGGCAAAATAAGGAAAAGTAAATACAATAGACATGATGTAGAAAGATATATCTCATAAATGATATCATGTCTGAACTGAAATAAACTGAAATACATCTGGAGTCTGAAATAATGTAAAATGTCTCAACATGAGTCAACTGAAAATCGTACAACGGCACCTAGCCTTTACAAATGGAATACAACTCTAATGTCTAAACAGTGAAAATAAATCTACGGTGGAGTCTCAACTAATAAATCATGTGACGACGACTATGCCAGAAACTCTGTCATCCTGCGGCTCTCCGGAACTCTGAGCTGCCTGAAAGGAAAATTTAAAAGAAAAAGAACAACAGTAAGAGCATCAGAGAGCTACAGCAAGTTCACCTTCATCCGTCCCCAGAGGAAGGGCTGCTAGATGATAAAGTGGAGGCTCTATCTATTAAGCATAGTCTACCTAGATCAATTTTTCCTGTATCTAATGGAATTAATATTTAGAAACTTACAACTTGAGACGTAGTACGTCGAGCGAAATAATCCAAACAAGGAAACCCTCATGTATATACCGTATGTCTCAGGTAGTAAATAACTAAATATTAACCCTGAACTAAGCAATCAAAATATAACTGGAAAGTAAAGCATCATAATAGACAGCAGCATATGTATCTCGTGTACTCGTATAGCAAAGTATCTCAACAATGAGTAGAAACACTTTTGGCATCCGCCAAATACTTAGGTAAATAGTTTATAATATTATCATTCTGAACTTCTTCCAACTCATCGCATCATTGCGCGGATCGACAAATAGGTATCATCGTATCATAGTGCGGATCGACAAATAGGTATCATCGCATCATAGTGCGGATTGACAAATAGGTATCATCGCATCATAGTGCGGATCGACAAATAGGTATCATCGCATCACCGTGCGGATCGACAAATATATATCATCGCATCATAGTGCGGATCGACAAATAGGTATCATCGCATCATAGTGTGGATCGACAAATAGGTATCATCGCATCACCGTACGGATCGACAAATAGGTATCATCACAGTCTCATTTGCGGTGTACTAACTCACAAGTAAATAGATCTCAATTCGTCATAATCCCCGTGGGATACTCAAATGTGTATTTCGTCATATTCATGATTGTAAGTATAACATTGAGCGGCTCAAACTCCGCGATAGCGTTACAAACGGCGCAAACAAACTCCAGAAAATAAAACTGGGCCAAACTGTCCAGTAAATGGTCAGGGTTACCAACCCCGACTATCTGTTATAATAACAAATTGTGAACAGTAACAGTACTTACTAATAGCAACAGTACTTTACGACTAGTATCCGTACTCATGAATAGTAATAGTACGTATGAATAGTAATAGTACTCATGAATAGTACCATACGTATGAACAATACGGTATTTATGAATAGTGTCACTGTACGTATGAATAGTAATAGTGCTCATGAATAGTACCATATGTATGAATAGTAATGGTATTTATGCATAGTACCACAGTACATATGAATAGTAATAGTACTCATGAATAGTACCATATGTATGAATAGTAATGGTATTTATGCATAGTACCACAGTACGTATGAATAGTAATAGTACTCATGAATAGTGCCGTACGTATGAAAAGTACGATATTTATGAATAGTACCGTATATATGAATAGTAACGGTATTTATAAATAGTGCCGTATGTACGAATAATACCGTACGTATGAATAGTATCCGTATGTATGAATAGTACCATACGTATAAATAGTAACAACATTTCCAGCGGTAGACATGTACGTATAGTTCTAGCTAGCAATATCATGTCTTTATAGACATGTACGTATAGTTCTAGCTAGCAATATCATGTCTTTAGGAATTTGGTCTTATATTCTATTCATTAATTTTCTAGCTAGCAATATCATGTCTTTAGGAATTTGGTCTTATATTCTATTCATTAATTTTCATCAATATCAAGTTTTTTTCTTCAATCTCATGTATATTCATTAATTTTTATCAATATCATATCTTTTCATCAATATCTTGTACATTCATCAAGATCAAAATTTACTAGGGATGAGTTTGGAAAGAGATGAACTTGCATTTATTGATCTCTGAAATTTGACTCCCTATCCGTTCCTTTTCTCTGAATAGCCAAAGTCCAATTTATCTTTTTCTCTCTTTTCTTCCTCTCTGTCTCCCTCTCCCTCTCCCTCTCTTTCTCTCTCCCTCTCTTTCTCTCTCTCTCTCTCTCTTTTTTCTCTTCTCTGCGTGCTCAGAAGAGAGAGGGGGGAGAGGCTTTTATAGGAGGGGGGTAGGTGGGGGTAGGTGGAGAGAAGAAAAGAAAAGGAAAATAATAATAATAATATTTATAATTTTATATTATTTAAAAATTGAGTTTCAAATCTCTATTCTCAAAAAGTAATAAAAATTTACTCACAAGACCGTCTCAACATTCTACGATCATTGGTGTAATCCTCATATTTATCTGATCAATATAAAAATTATTAAAAATATAAATACGACAGATGCTAACGGACTTGATACCGTCTCAAAATAGTATTTCAGTCTCCATTGTCAAAACATAACGAAACTTTAATCACAGCACAATATTGACATTATCAAATCAATGGCGTAAATTTTGTGCTCATCTGATTAATAAAAAAATTACTAAAAATAAAATAGTATCAGTTTTCAGTAGACTTGCGATA